ACACTGTTTTGGGTTTTTGACGTTAAACCCAACCAAAAATTTTTTTTTAAAACATTTTCAAGTCCACTGAATTTAAAAATAAGGGGGGGAAAATGTTTTTAATTAATGGTGGAAGGGGCACAAATGAGTTGTTCCCTGGTGGCGGGAAAAAGGCCCCTAACTGTATTTGGGTTGGTACAAATTAATTAGCGTAAAAAAATATAAAAACGGAAAAAAAAGGGAAAAAAGGTGTTTACTTAAAAACCTTTAAAAAATGTTTTCTTTAAAGCTATTAAATTCGTCTACTTTTTTTTTTTCCGGGAACTCCCAATATTTCCAACTTTATTTTTCACAAGGGGAAAAAAAAGGGAAAAATGTAATTTTTAAAATAAAATTGGTGGAAAAAGGGCATACATGAGTTTTTTGGCTGTTTGGCGGAAAAAGGTTTTTAATTGTGATTTTATTAGGAAAAGGAGACCATTTTTCCAAAATCCAGGGATTTTACCTTAGAAAAAAAATTTGTTAACTTTTAAATTTAAAAAGGTTTTATTTTTATTTTTATTTTAAAAGAAATTTATTTTTTTTGGAAAAGTCTGCCTGTGCAGGAAAACTTATTTAAAAAAATTTCATTAAAATTGTTTTTTTCACCTTTGTTTGCCCCAAAATTTTCCAAAACTTTTAATTTTCCCCAAATTTAGGAAAAAAGAAAACCAAAAAATTTTTTTTGAAAATCAAAAAAAAGAAGAATTTTTTGTTTTTGAATTTTTTTTTTTTTTTTGCAGGTTTGAATTTTTTTGGGGCCCGGAAAAAATTTAATTTTGAATTTAAATTTTCCGAGGAAAAATTTAAATGTTTTAAACCCCTTTAAAAAGTGGGATAATAAAAAAAATTTTTACGAATTTTTGATAATTTTTTAATAAAAAAACCTTTTTTAACCCAATCTACAATTTTAAAAAAATTGTTTGAAATTAAATTAAAGAATTTTTTATCCTTTTTCCAGATTTGGTTCCCCAAAGTTCCCATTTAAATTTGGTAAAAATTTTTGGGAGGAACCCGTTTTTTTACTTTTGGATCTTCCAAAAGGCCCGGGAAAAGGGGAAGGACATAACTGAAATTTTTTGGGGCAATGGGGTTGGGGGGGCCGGGGGTTTAAACCTTTTTAAATTTTAAAAATTAAAGGGTAAATTGAAAATTAAAATTTTTTAGAAAAAGCCTTAAATGATTTTTGAACAAAATTTTTTTATTTTTAAGTCTCCCCAATTTCATCCCCAAGAATTTCCGAAGAAAAAAAAAGGGGCGTAATATTATCCCAAATTTCATTCACGGGCATTTTTAAATAAAATTTTTGGTGATTTTCAAAAAAAAAAAAAAATAAAAAAAAGGAAAGGAATTGGGGAAAAGGCCAAAAAAAACAAACAGGGTATAGGGGGAAAAATTGGGGCAGAATTTTTCTTTATCTGTTTTTGAAAAATTTTTTATTTTAACGGGTTTACCATTGTAAAAAAGAGGAAATTTTTTGGTTTGACAAAATTGTTTGAGGATCCCTTACTTTGTTCCTAAAACCTCTTAAAAAAAATTTTTTGGAAAAAATTTTAAAAGTTGGGGTATCCCAATTCCGGCGTAGGGAATTGTAAAAAATTTGAATGTTTGATCAAACGTTTTTTTAAACCCAAAATTTTTAAATTGTTAAAACCCCAAAATTTTTTACTGTTCTTAAAGGGGGAAAAAACCATGAAAATTTTTTGGTTTAAAAATTGCTTGGAAGAGGGCCATAAAAATTGTTGTGTTTTGGGGTGGCTGGAAAAAAAGGAAAAAAATTGGGTGATTTTAAGGAAAAATTTTAATTTTCGTAAAAAAGGAAAAGGTAAAAATTTTAAAATGTAAAAAAAACCCGAAATTTGGGATGTTTTTTAATTTAAAAGGGAGTTTAGGGGGGGTTATTTAAACCCGGGTTTAAATTTTATCAAATAATTTTTCTTTTCCTTTTTCCAACACTTTTTTGGGGGCTTTTTTGTTAAATTTTTTTAAAATTTTTGGAATTTGTTTTTTTTTTGGTTTTAACGAACGTTTTTAAAAAATTATAATCCAAAAATTTGCTCTTAGCCCAACTTTTCCCCTTTTCCCCTCAATTTTTGGAAAAGGGTTACTTGCCCAAGGGGTTTTGGTTTTTTTAAAAACCGGTGGAAAAAGGGCCATATGTGCAAAAATGTTCAGAATTGGTAAAAAGGCACAAATTGTTTTTTTGGTTAGGGTAAGGCTAATTTTTCATGTTAAAAATTTGAAAATACTTGTTATTTTTGAAAGGTAAAGGGTTTTTTTTTATAGAAAAAAACCAAATTCAGATTTTGTATCATTTAAAAAAGGGTTCAAAAATTAAAGTTTTTAAAAATTTATGTTTTTTAAAAAAGTTAAACTATTTTAAACCATGGTATTTTAATTTTTAACGGGGTTTTAACGCGGGCTTGTTTTCATTAGTTTTGGAAAATTAAGGATTTTAATTTTCAAGGTTGGGCTGAAATTTTTTACAAAATAAAAAGGGGACATTTAATTTTTAAAATTGTAAAAAATTAAATTTTTGTTTAAGAAAACAAAGTGAAATTTCGTTTTAAAGGGTTTTTGGTTTGGGAAAAAACTTTTATTATAAAAATTAAAAAATTAAGGGTTTTGAAATTTTATCATTTCTTAACCCTTATTGCCAGAGTTTTTTGGGTTAAATTTTTGATTGTTTTAAAAGGGTTTTATTTTTTTTTTTCTTTAAGATTGCACTAGCCCAAACAAATTGTCAAAAAATGGGGGGAAACATGCAATTTGATAAACTAAAAAAAAAAAAAAGGGGAAAAGCCATTTTTGTATTTCTAGGGTTGGGGAAAGGGAAAAACAAATTTTGTGTTTTAAAAAGGTTAAAATTAAAATTTAAAAATTTTGGGGTATTTTCATTTAAAAGGGGTTTTTTTTTTAAATTATTTTTAAAAAATTTTTACTATTGATTTTTCCAGAAAAAGGTTTTTGTTAAACCCCAGAAAATTTTAAAAAATTTTAAAAAAAATTAAATTTTTGTTCTTTCTTAAATTTGATTTTCTTTGAAAATTGTCATTTTCTCATTTTTAAAATCCCATTTTAAAAGATTGTTCAAAAGTCCATTTTTTTTAAATTTGGTCCATAAGGGTAGGGGACGTGAAATTGGGTTCAACGGCCGGGAAAAGAGGGCACACATGCTTTTTCTGATGGCGGGAAACGGACCAAAAACTTAAAAATTTTAAAAGGTTGGGGTAAGGTTTAAATTTAAGTTGATTGTTTTTTTAAAAAGTTTCAAAACCAAAATTAACGGAATTATGTGCTTTTTAATTATTATAAAAAAAAATTTTTTGACCCCCAGTTTTTTTTTAAATTGTAAAAATAATTTTTTTAAAAAATTTTTTAAAACGTTTTCCCTCCCCAAGGGCCCATTACCCCTTTGGGTTTTTTTAAAAAGTTTTTGGGTGAAAACCCAAAAATTTTGGAGTTTTTCAAAAAATTTTTTTAAGTCGGGTGAAAATTTAAAAAAAAATTTTTAAACTTTCCAAAACAAATTATCCCATTCAACTGGGACCCCAAATTATATTTATGGTGGCCCCCTGAATTTTTGGCCAAATTTAAAATTCGTTTTTCATTTTTTCTTTTTCAAGTTTAACCGGCCCGAAAAACGAAACCCCGATAAAAGGGGCCCAAATTTATGGGTCTTCGTCTTTTCGCTTTTTGAGGTACGACACCCACAAGTTATAGGGCGCCCGATCCCGGGCCTTGTTTTTCCCCGACGACAAAAAATAATTTTCCCAAAAAAAATTATTTTTCGTTCTTATTCATAAAAAATATCGGTTATTTCACCTAAAATATATCATGCCCTTTTCCAAAAGAACCGAAGGCGAAAGACACGTTTATTAATTGGGTGAAAAGGCATATAACCGGGGTGGTTTTTCTTTTTTCCTTTCGCCATCTCGAATTTTTTTAGAAGGGACGAAAACATAAAATTCTCTCTCCAGAAATCGAGCCGAACCATAATAAATAAATAAAACCAATGTCGAAGCCAGGGATTTTTCGAGCCATTTTCAATTATTAATAACAATTTGTATTATTGTTTTTATGTGTTTTATTAAATATCGAAATAGTACGACTTCTAAATGTATCAACAAACACTATTATAAAACTTAAAATTAAAGTTAAATACTTGTATTACACAAATAAATATGATATATATGCAGATTGCAGCAGTCCGATACATTGTGGTAAATATGGTGACTGCCAACTGACAAATGGGGGTCGTAACAAAACTTGTATTTGTTTTTATGGGTGGAAAGGTCCGAAATGTGAAAATATTGGTATATATATTACTTATCTTTAATTTGTCATGTTTTGATTTTCTATAATGATCAATAATTTATACTTAATATAACATTGTTTCGCTGCTTTGTAAGTAACAATAAATTCGTGCATAATTATATGCTTTATTACAGGCTAAACTTTTTAGAATAGTGGCAATCACCGTCATCTTTAAATAAACTGATGTACATGTAACCTTTTGTAATTTTAAAAATCAAATGGGACTGCAAAATATTTTCTTTAACACTATTTTTTCTAGACAAGAATATGGTACATCATGTTGTTATCTAATGTTTTTCATACACAGTACAATTGATTTTCAGACGTATGCACGCCATATAAAATGGCCGATTTTGTATTTGTTATCGACACTTCGATGAGTGAATGTAATATTACATTTGATAAGCATAAACAATACGTCCAGAACTTCATATCCAAATATCAAGTAGGGCCACCAAACTATCGATACCAGTTTAGTCTTGTGACATTTTCTCGACAAGCGACTGTTCATTTTTACTTAAATACTTTTAACAACAATAGCGAGATACAGAACGCAATAGATCACCTAACAGTAGATTGTGGTGGCCCGAGTTTGACTGGAACTGCTTTGAAGAAAGTACGCGAAGACGTTTTTGCAGACGGGACAATGGTGTGAGAGATCCGGTTGATGTCGAACGCTATATAATATTATTGTCTGATGGACTGTCGTCGGACCCGAATATTGTGATATCAGAGGCAAATGCTTTGATAGTCAGCGGGGTGAAGATTTATACTGTTGGTAGTGGATTGTCCATACGTCATGAGGAATTGTTAGAAATATCATCATATAATCAATCATTTTGTGTTTCCAATGGCAACAGAGGATTGTTTACAGACACTCCTTAAATACACCATGTTTGGTTGTGACAGTATGTTTACTCATTTTATATTACTTTTACTTTACTTTGCGTGTATTCATTTTATTGTGATGTTATATCATGATTTACTAGTAATTGTCTAGTAATAAGCATGTAATTTCATTGAAAATTTGTTGCAATGAATTGAATATCAAATTTTGTAAAAGAATACATAATCTGCATACATTATTCTTAGGATTGCTTTCTCATTCTTTCAAATATTGATTTGATTACTTTGTTATTGAATTGTTTCAATATCTTTTTCAGAATGTTCAACAAATGTGTCAGATGTTGCTATTGTTATGGATGTTTCGGCTAATATAAATCATAAAGACTTTGATATGCAAGTCAAAGCTGTCTCTCATCTTTTAACACTTACTAATGTTGGTCCAAATGCAACTCAGTTCAGTTACTCTATGTTCACGAATGACACAGTGAGTGTATATAACTTTACAACCCATCACGATCGAGTCAGTCTTATAGCTGATGATAATAAGAAAACAAGACAGAAATACAATAAAAATGTTAACATAACCCGTGCTCTGAATGATGTGAATAAAAATGGATTTTCAACTTTGAGAGGATCGAGGCCATATGCAAGAAAGATCCTAGTTTTGGTAACTTCAGGAAACATGAATGATACACAAGGACTGAAAAAGGCGGCAAAACGGGTTAAAGACTCTGGAATAATAATTGTTACCATAGGTACTGGTAGAAGTGCTAACTGGATCAACTTGCGTGATATATCATCGGACCCAATGCTAACGTTTGTACTAGGGGATGACATCCATATTGGCGTTAATGTGCTAGACTCTCTTAGAACAACTTTATTATATGATTATTGTTCAAATGTATAATATAATTTGTTAACTAAAGTCGTACATATAAGGTTATCCTGATAATTGTTAAATACTTAAAGAATTTGTCAGTAAATAACGATATTTATATATTGTTTTCCACATTATCTGTATCTATATTATAACTGTAATTAACAATTTATCGCATGGTTTGGAACTTTTCCTTTGTTCTTGCTAACCCATTATACTCAGTACACTTCAATGAGCGTTTGAAAACTGTATTGATATATAACAGTACAGTTTTTGATTGATTCATATAGGAAAAACAAATTCGACTGTTATATATCGGTTGAGTTTTTTTTCGCACCTTGTAGTATATCAATACATTTTTTTTCATAGAGGCTCCATTGGGGCAGTGGGAACGACCATTCCCAGTAGCAAAAAAAAAAAAAAAAAAAAAAAAAAAAAAATGGAATTAATAAAATAAAATAAAATAAATATATAAATACAATGAAAAAATGAAATGAAATTTACTCTCATTTAATCAAAAGTACATCCGCTGAATGAATTATTTCCACTGAAAAAATCCCTTTAATCTTGAATCAATTTTGGTAACAGTTTACAATCCGCCTCTAACATTGGATGTCTTTTGTATATTTTTTTTGCGGCAGCGAAAACAACTTGAAAAAGCTGCTTTATCATAAATAACTGTAATGTAGCTAACGATTTATTTATTTATTTGTTTCTATTACAAAAAAGAAAACATTATGCCATTGCGATAAAACAGTTATAGTATATGAAACTCGTTAGTTACGGGGATATAACACTGGCTGGGGCGACATCTCGGGATGTTTCTGCCAAAAAAATTGTCTCGGCCTGACGGCCTCGCTATTTTTTAGCAGAAACACCCCTTGATGACGCCCCAGCCAGTGTTATATCCTCGTAACTAACTCGTTTCATTTACTAAAACTATTACATATTGATCTTTTTTAAATAGCTGCTGCATTGGAATGCGATTACATCACACGTGTGTTCTAGTCTAATTGGTGCAACTCCGCAGCGAAATTTAGCACTTATGAGGAAAACAATACTTAGAATAAAAGCCTGGCCTACAGATGGTAAAATGAAAAAAAAAACTTAAATAAAATTTCAAGTAAACGGTAAATACTGACCAATTAAGATTTTATGTGTAAATTAATTATGAGTTTACATCTTAATTCAAGAAAGATTGTTGACAAAAGCGCCAATATATTGTGTTTCTTCTTTGCTTAATCTACTAGGGTAACGCAGTAGCCAAAATAAATAGGACAACATGTTCACGTGTTACAACCGTAGTTCGGAAAAATCCCGGTATTCGGTACGCCCGGCGTCATATATCAATTTTAATCAGTGAGTAAACCCTAACGATTTATGTATTTATTTGTTTCTATTACAAAAAAAACAACATTATGCCATTGCGAAAAAACAGTTATAGTATATGAAACTCGTTAGTTACGGGGATATAACACATTGTCATTTTAAGAAAGACTTAAAAACGGATTGTTTTTTTCTATTTAATAAAGATACCAACTGCAATATTATATACCAACTAGGATCGAATTCATTGACGTCATATTGCCATAAAATGTTTCTAACTATATTTTTAAGAGCTACCAAAGGGAATTAACTAAGACAAAGAAAAATGAGATTCCAGCAGCAATTATTAACTACCTTTGCATTGATCTTTTATCTGTACATTTAAGATGTAGTTTTTGAAGTGGTGTTCTTTAATAATTCTAATAACAGCGGAATGTCACAGTTACAGTGTTTTTACGTGAATGATATTTTTGCTGTTACTCACGAACTTATGTAATATTTATTCATTACCCCGAACAAAAACTTCATTGGGACACTGTTTCTATAGGTTTTTATTTTTTTAGAGTTTTGCGAAAGGTAACCCCATTGGCCTATGGGAAACTAACATTTCAAAAATATTGAGGAGAAATAAGATCAATTGCCAGCTAATATGCACAGAAACGAATTAGTTTAAATATATGCTAACAGTGTATATTTGAAAGGATATGAAACAAATATTCACGGCACTTTCGCATTATATAAGACAACATAATATATGACTAGAAACTGAAGCTAAAATGCGCAAAGATATCTGTTAATTATATAATTATAAATAATATAGTGTCTGATATTCCTTTTTCATTATTGCCTACAATCACAACATGGAGAGATTCTTTGCTTATTTCAGCTCAAATGTTTAAACAGAACGTGTTTGAGATTAAACTGTTTTGTGAAATATATGAAAACAGCAGGTCACTATTTTCGCAATACAAACATTTCTTAAGAATAAATGAACGAGCTATGATAACCAAATAATGTAAACATTACTGTTGAAATTATTTTACTAAAGTTATATTCTATGAAAACGTTGTCTTAATTTACCAAAATATAGTTTAATAGAATGCATTCATTCTTTCTCATGTCGTCCGATAGATAAAATTCTAAAATAGGAGATTTATTTTTAAAAAGGAATAAATATAGCCTGCTGTAAAACACGCTGTGGTTCTACTAATGTTCCAACAGAATCTGCTGTAAGAAAATCAGTTGTTTAAGTCAGGTTCCAACTCGAATCTGCTGTACGAAATTCAGTTGTTCTATTTAGGTTCCAACTCGAATCTACCGTAAGAAATCGAGTTGTTCTACTCCGGTTCCAACTCGAATCTGCTGTAAGAAATTAAATTCAGTGGTTCTACTCAGGTTCAAACTCGAACCTGCTGTAAGACACGCTGTGGTTCTACTAAGGTTCCAACATAACCTGCTGTAAGAAACACAGTGGTTCTATTTAGGCTCCAAAAATTTTGATAAACAAGATCAACAAGGAAAGGCATTGTTCAATGAACGCAACCCCCATACGACCCAGCAACAAGAACCAGTGGCAAGGAACCCATGCGGATCCCAAACAAAAACAGGACAGGGCACAAGACAGAGCACGGACCTCGAACCTACTGTAAGAAATCCAGTGGTTTTACTCAGGTTTCAACAGAACCTGCTGTAAAAAAGTCAGCGGTTCAATTCAGGTTCCAACTCGAACCTGATGTAAGAAATTCAATGAATTTACTCATGCTCCAACTCGAGCCTGTTGTAAGAATGGCACTAGCTCTACCCAGGTTCCAACTCGAACCTGCTGTAAGAAAGTCTCCTCGTACCTGATGTGATAGAAACATGGGTATTAACATACACTCAAAG